ATGAGTGGACTTCCTGTTTTCAATATTCATATATGCAAACCAAAGAAATCCCCACTAGCTGCATGTCACGATCATGGGTCTTTTGACCTAGCATTTTAAGTTTTAGTATTTTTAAGTTCATTAGATTATCTAAGCTCATGTGTTTATTTCGATTCCCCTTGTGTCTTCTACCCCTGTGTTTAGTCTCCCTTTGCCCTTTATATGTTCAAGCTGCATGTCTTATGTTGTCAAGTTTATATTATCAAGTTTATATTTCTGAGTCTCATGTTTCCTGTTTTATTGTGAAAGTCTGTGTCCTAGTTCAGCGTAGTCAGCTTTGCTTCATTTGTCTCGTTATGTCAGATTAGTGTCAGCTGTTTCCCCGTGTTTTTCCACTTCCCCTAATCATCCTTGTTTGTATTTAGTCTGTGTGTTTCTGTTCATTCCTTGTCAGGTCGTCTGTTGTTCCATGTCATGTTTCCACGATTTTCCATGTTTAGGTTTTTTGCAATGTTCAAGCTTTTGTTCTTTACCTTTTGTGTTTAGCATTTAGTTTTCACAGTTTAGTTCTAGTTAGATTCTTTCTTTTGTGCATCTGCCTTTTGTTTTTGTACTTTTTTATCAGCCATATTAAACGGCTCGCTTTTTGTTAATTCAAGTTTTGTTCCACGTTCCATTTTGTCTGCATTTTGGGTCGTCTACGTCACTCCATACAGTCTGCCTCTGCCAGACTGTGACAGAACTACCTGACCACGTTGGACCCAGCGGACATTTATTTCACAGACTTTTTGAATTTCAGATTCGTGTTACCATACTTCACAGACTTTGGATTATTTCCTGTGCAGGGAAGCAGGGAGAGGAGAAGGTGGCTATTTGGGCTCAGTGGACCCGAATAGCCAAGGCTAACCCAGGTTTTATGGACTGCCTGCCTGCAGACTTAAAGAACTTTGTTACAGCCATGATGTCTTCTGCCTCACCATCATCACCACAGCAGCAGCTGCCCAGCGTGCAGCTGAATCGCCCCAGCCCCCCTGTGGTGCTGCTTTCCCCTCACTGTCTAGGGGAGTAAGAGTCAGCACATTAAGTTTCTTGCCTGTTCCTACGCCCATGTCGCCACGGCAGGAGACAAGTGCTGCTTTTTCTCCGTCGCAACCAATGGTTTCTTATGCCTTGTCAGCCTCGGCTTTTGCGGCGCCTGCCTCCATCACGATGACTTCCAGGAGGAGGCAGCGTTCGCGTCATCAATGCACCTCACAAAGGTGTGAGGTGAGTTTCTATGTTTTGTCTCCTCAAGGTTTTTCTAAGGCAAATATTAAAATAAACACTGCCTTGCCGGTTCCTGGGCCTGGCTATGGAAAGCCTGTTCATGTTCATAAAAGCAGTAAGACTGAGAATTTGCCGGCCAAGTCTTCCACAGATCATCTTATTCCCTTGCACAATTATCTAGCATCTCTCTTTGTCGATCATGCTACGAACTATGCTTCCAAGAAGTCGAATTATAAGAATATTTGCACTGGACATGCTAGCCATGATGCTCAGCTAAGCCCCTGTGGGACTGAGACCCAGGCCAGGTTTGATGCAGAGGCTGAGTTGGAGGACTCAGTTTGCACTGGACACCCTGAAAAGCCTGTTGCAGTTTCCACAGGAGTTACTGGACCTGCCTTGACCCAAACCAGAAGGGCATTTTTTACATTTTAGAACCCTTATTTTAATTTTGTAGCCCTCTGCATGTAACCCATTCACTCAGTGAAGTGGTGGACAACTGCCAATCCAGTGCCCAGAATTGGTACGTTGGTGGTACCTCAGCGGTATCTCAGGGTAGCTGTTTGGTGGATTTGACCTTCCTTTGAACTTCCGATCATGGGGCAACCATTACTGAGCTAATAATGTGTACATTATTATGCAATATTCACTAATTTAACTAACAATTTTTTTGAAAATTTTAGTAATTCAGTAATTATTATGCTCATTACCTGTGTACTGTGAGGAACACTGGATTTTAAACACTAGATGTATTTTCAAAATGGCGGCAGTGTGTACGGCCTGCCGTCTGACTTTGTTTGTACAAGTATTTTTTTTTTTTTTATTTGTCTTAAAAAATGCTAACTCTCTGCTTGTATACAATCACCAAACACTCCTGGCTATGAGATCTTCTCATTTAGAAACTTTTACTGCAATCGTGGATACCAGGGAACCTTCTCCCCACCATTCCTGTTAGGAGTTCCAGGTTGTCTCTGTTGTGCTCCGGCAGTACCTCAACTGAGAGGGCATCATAGACGCCATGGGAAACGCAGTGGTTTATTGGTGAGAATGCTACATGAACACGATTTTGAAAAACACCTAACCTTATCCCAACTAGATTTGACCACGTCAATTACGGGCACTCTCTGGACATGGCTTACACCTGCCTAACACTTATTGATGGGCTTACCACAATATGCCCCTGCAAGTTCCCCTGCAAACAACTCTTAACTTACTCGTATTCTAGTTTTAAACTTTTGACATTTGAATTTGGGATATCCCCACCCAACACTCGTTGCAGTTGTATACAGACCTTCAAAATATCACAAACATTTTATTCAAGACTTTTCAAACTTTTTAGCCGGTACCGTGTCAAGCTAGGATCAAATCTTAAGTGTTGGATATTTTAATATTCATATCTGTTGTCCCTCCAATCCTCTGGCCAGAGACTTTTTAAATTTGATACACTCCTTTAGTCTTGCTCAATTCATGTCGGGGATAACCCAGAAACAGGGTCATATGTTGGATCTTGTGCTGTCTCTAGGGTTACGGTCCTAAACACAAGAAAGCCTAATTTCTGCTGTTCAATACTGAAGAAATTTAAACTCAGTGACTCAGCTGTGCTTCTGCTTTTGGATTGTGAGGAATTAGAAATTATTTTACTGTTATTGTTAATAATCATCATCATTACCATTGCATTAATAATACAATCTGCAGTATTGATGTTGTATTTAGATGTTTAAACATATTGGTACCCGATTAGCCTTTATTACAGGTGCAGTTATAACCACTCTAAACTGTTGAGTTGAATCTATAATCTTAAATGCTTTTGAATGCTTGTTATAATCTGAAATGTGTACGTGCTGGCCTTCTGTCTGGTGGAAAAGGTTACAAGTTTCAGCTGGTGAGGGGAGAGGTGAAAAGCATTTCATGATGACACACACAAACACACAGTAGATAGAGTCATTTATAGGTGAGAGGTTAATCATGTTTGCCTGTAACTCTAAAATTGTCTCTGTAAAAGAGGAATAGTTTCTTGCTGTCTCTGCAAACAGAGGAACAGTTTGGTTTTCCAGACGAGAAGTGAAAGTCAGATGGCTGACAGGAAACATCTGTCGTGGAGACGGATACAATGTTATTTTTAAACTGTGTTAAGTCATTGTGGTTTTGAAACCTATGTATGAACTGTATCTGAGTGACGTTGAAGGGGCGCAGTAAATTTAAGCCCAGAAGGTATAAAACACCTGCTTATGCTCTGTAAGTTGGGGATCGGCGCTGTCTGCGTACAGTGGCGGTCTTCCCACGCGTGTCATTAAAATCATCGTTTGACTCCACCCGGCCGGATCAGTGTTGTTATTATGGAAGTTGATTACCTCCTCTACCCCTCCTCAATATTTGAACCTAACATTTTGGGGGCTCGTCCGGGATTTGAGGAGGGAGAGTGAGTTGGAGGTGTAGACGGAGAAATCCGGGGTCCGAGGTGGTCAGACGGGCAGGCACGAATATCAGTGGTCAAAGTGAGTGGGCATAAGCCGGATTATCCAAAGGTAAGGCACTACCTGTTGAAATTTCCAAATGTGCCAAATTGGGCATGAAAAAATTAAAGTCTACTCACTGAAATTACTGGTGAATGTCTGTTTTGATTTTGGTGAAAATTTCATGAGAAGTTAAAGCAGTTGAACTGCTAAAAGGATTTAATGCGGTTGGACCGCTAAAGGATTTAAAGCAGTTGGACTGCTGAGTGAATTTATTTTAGTAGGGAATTTGGTCATTTTATGGGTTAGAGTCCCTATTGGTTATAAGGTTGGACCTGCTTCAGTCTTACACTTTTTGGGTGTTTTACTGTTGTCCCAAAGTACTATAAATTTTTGAAGGACAGTGGTTGGACCACTAGGAGGCGCAGTGCTCAGAGGTAACGCTTGCCAAGGCCGGGGACGCCTAGGCCTTGTCCTCTTTGAGGGATAGTCAGTTGGTCACTGTGGAGCTTGGGGCACTCCAGAATAACTAGTGGTTGGACCACTTTACCGTTTGGAACGGTATCTGCGCTTTTTTGGGCAGCAAAGGTTGGACCTTGGGTGTTGGACACTTTTAAATTGAGTTAGGGATTTTAGAGATGAGGCCAGAAACTGTTGGACAGATACTGGTTAATTGATCACAAAAAAGTTGGACTTTATCGGTTGGACCGTTAACTTAAATTTGTCGAAATTGTTTAGGAGCTAAAGCTGTGAGGCCTGACAGTGGTTGTAAATATAAGACGTCTGTGTAATATAAAATAGGAGATCTCTGTGTGAAAGGAGGCTGAGTCTGTGCTGGAGCTATTTTTAGACTGTGTGTGTGTGAATGTGAAAAATGCAAATTAGTAAGCAGTGAACTGGTTAAACGATAGTTGGTTTCATAAATGATGGTGCAAACATTGTTGAATGCATGTGTTTAAGACGCCATTTATGTTTATTAGAGGGCTATAAATAAAGTTTTGAGTTGCTGTAGTGGATGTATAGTAATTGACTGAGTTTGGATATATATATAAATAGATTGAGTGCATTGTATATGCTTAAGACTAACATATTACTTTCAGTAGTAACCTTTCTCCAGCAACAAATGCTGGTGTGTCTTAATTTCATGTGTGTGCTGTGAGAATTAATAGAGGTTTCAATTTTTTGTTGACTTGCTCTTTCTCATTATGAAAGGCATGTCTAAAAGACTCTTAGGAAAGCATATTTTGAGTTATATTCCTCAACTTCTGTCACAGTTTAGGTGTGTGAATGCTGTGAGAAGCAAGTTTTGAGTGATTGGGTGTGATTTGTACAAAAATAATAAGTAAGAAAAACACCAGGGACGTTGATAGTAGAGTGAGTGAAAAAGTGGAAGTTTGAGAGAAAAGGCGGTGTGTGTACATACATATGCAATGAAGAAGCAGCTTACACTTCATTAACATGATCATATAACATGAAAGGCAATGAAGAAACAGCTTACACTCACTGAACATGAACATGAATACAAATGCAATGAAGAACATGCTTACATACATGACATAAGTTGGTATTTCTGACCAGAGAGAGAGAAATGGGTAGTTTAAGCAATCGTGATAATAATGAAAATGTCTCAGTTGTGTTATTTTCAGGGGCAAAGCAGACCTAGATCAATTTTCCACATGCAGCGGTCGGAAGAAACTTATAGGTTAACATCACTGGACATGTTAAGGCAAGTTTCTGGTTGAATTGTTCACAGCACCTGAGTCCATGAACCTCACAAGCAAGCTCTAGCTTATGGCTGAGGACCAGGAATGCTGTTATTTCAGGTGGGAAATTAAAATTTGGGTTAGCAAATTTGGGGAAGAGAAAACTGACTGCTTAAGTGGAGGATTGTGAAGGAGTCGGAAACACTGCAAAAAGCAACACAATATTTGAACCTAACAGGATCTGCCCACTCCCTTTGATACTGTTGACCACAGCATCTCGATCTACGATTGGAGCATTATGAAACAGTCCGGCCTCACTAGAACCCTTACTTCAGTGTCTCAGTGAAGTTAAATCCTTGATCGCCACTAACTTCCTTAACACAGTCTTGAGCCTTTTATCAAATCACATGCCAAAAATGTGCGGGTTATATTTGACAGCAATTTCATCTTTGAAAAACAGATTAGCTCAGTCATGCAGCGATCTTTCTTCAAACTGAGGTTTTTATCTAAGGTGAGATCATTTTTATCTTTTAAAAACTTTGAATGGACATTCCAGCTGGACTATTGTCTTATATGCTGGAGTTAGCCAGTCCTGCCCTGCAAGACAGATGCAGCTCGTCTTCTGACTTGTACTAAAAGACTTGGACATAGTTCCCCGGTGCTTGCCTCTCTTCACTGGCTCCCTGTTCACTTCAGAATAAATTTTTTATTTTATTGTTGACTTAAAAAGCCCTGAATGGACAGGCTCCCGGGAATTTGTCTGACTTCTTGCAGCCTTATGTGCTATCTAGATCTCTTAGACTAAGTGATCATTTGCTTGTACCCATACCAAGGTCGAGGCTGGATCATAAAGGCAATCAGGCGTTTTATTTTACTAGGTATTTTGTATTCTGGTACAACACTTTGGTCTAAGTTCCTGTTGTAATTAATGCGCTATATAAATAAATATAAAATAATAAAAATATAAATAAAAATATAAATAAATAAACTTTAACTATAGACTATAAAACTTTCCTGTTAAAGGTGTGTATAAAGGAGATGAGTTGAAATGCTGACTTCATGGACAATGTTTGCTGTCAGGAAATATCAAAGGCAAAGCAGAGATCCATCCAGTCTCTTCCACTTAGCCCACAAAGAGACAGACAACCACTCTCAATTACACCTGCATGAAGTTTAGATCACCAGGTAATTTAACAGCATGTGTTTGGACTTGGCAGCACGGTGGCACGGTGGTTAGCACTGTTGCCGCACAGCAAGAAGGTCCTGAGTTCAATTCCACCGTCAGGTCTTTCTGTGTGGCGTTTGCATGTTTGAATGTGAGTGCGAATGGTTGTCTGTCCCTGTGTGTTGGCCCTGTGACAGACTGGCGACCTGTCCAGGGTGTACCCCGCCTCTCGCCCTATGACAGCTGGGATAGGTTCCAGCGCCCCCCGCGACCCTGAAAAGGATAAGCGGAAGCAAATGGATGGATGCTGTTTGGACTGTGTGAGGAAACTGTAGAGTACCCAGAGAGAACCCGTGTAATTCAGTGGGAACCCTGCTTATCGAAGCCTTACAGTTAGATATGGTTACTGACAGGAAACAGGATCTTAGAGGCAATTTCAGTTATGAAGCCTGAGTTTTTCCCTCCACACTGGATCAAAACAGGACTTATATTTTATATTTATAAAGCTGAGATTTATATTTAAAAAGGGAGAGTGTGCACTAAAAGTAAGATACAAACTAGAACTTAAATTACAATCATCAGAAAAAGATGCAAGTGAAGTCTAGTAGCTGAAGTATATCCTTTAGAATAAACGAACCAGACCCGTGGAGTTGTAGACAAGTGAACAATGTGAGGATAATAAACCTGTCAGAGGAGCTGAAGGATCAGAGCTCATCTTCTTATAGGCTGGACTAGGTTGTCCGTTGATAAGAGTTACAGACATAAATGTCTCAGAAATGCTGGAGTAAAACATTAAAAGTACCATATATTTACTGAGTGACTGATGATGATTTAATTCACTAATTTTACTTTTTTTTAAAGTGTTCTTTGAACCGAGCATGTCTGATTTATGTCCCATCATTTTAAGAACGATACAATGAGTTAATTTACTTACAGAGCTTTGTTGGAGGCTTTGACCACTGGAAGCATTCTCAGAAGAGCCTCCTCTGAAGTAGAGTATTTCTTGAAGTCAAACTCATCCAGATCTTCTTCTGATGACAGTAAGATGAAGACCAGAGCTGACCACTGAGCAGGAGACAGTTTACCTGTGGAGAGACTTCCTGAAATCCTGTATAGTTGGATCTCCTCCACTAGAGAACGATCATTCAGTTCATTCAGACAGTGGAGCAGATTGATGCTTTTCTCTGCAAACAGATTCTCACTGAGCTTCTTCTTGATGTACTGGACTGTATTCTGAGTGAGTCCTGATCTAACTCCAGTCTGTGTTGGCAGACCTCGTAGGAGAGTCTGATTGGTCTGCAGTGAAAGACCCAGGAGGAAGCGGAGGAACAAGTCCAGGTGTCCATTTGGACTCTGTAAGGCCTTGTTCACAGCACTCTGGTAGAAGTGTTTCTGTGCAGATTCTCTTGTTTCAGACTTCTGGGAGGTTGTTTGTTGTTCTTCCAGCAGATTGAGTCCAGAGTTGATGAAGGTCAGATGGACGTGAAGAGCAGCCAGAAACTCCTGAACACTCAGATGGATGAAGCAGAACACCTTGTCCTGGTACAGTCCTCTCTCCTCTTTAAAGATCTGTGTGAACACTCCTGAGTACACTGATGCTGCACTGATATTGATCCCACACTGCCTCAGGTCTGATTCATAGAAGATCAGGTTTCCTTTCTTCAGCTGATCAAAAGCCAGATTTCCCAGAGACTTAATCATCTTCCTGCTCTCTGGACTCCAGTGTGGATCTGTCTCAGCTCCTCCATCATACTTGATCTTCTTCACTTTGGCCTGAACCACCAGGAAGTGGATGTACATCTCAGTCAGGGTCTGGGGCAGCTGTCCTCCCTCTCTGGTTTCCAGCACATCATCCAGTACTGTAGCAGTGATCCAGCAGAAGACTGGGATGTGGCACATGATGTGGAGGCTTCGTGATGTCTTGATGTGGGAGATGATCCTGCTGGCCTGCTCCTCATCTCTGAATCTCTTCCTGAAGTACTCCTCCTTCTGTGGGTCAGTGAACCCTCTGACCTCTGTCACCATGCCAACACAGTCAGGAGGGATCTGATTGGCTGCCGCAGGTCGTGTGGTTATCCAGAGGCGAGCAGAGGGAAGCAGTTTCCCCCTGATGAGGTTTATCAGCAGCACATCCACTGAGGTGGACTTTCTAGGGTCACTTAGGATTGTAGTTTTGTGGAAGTCCAGAGGAAGTCGACACTCATCCAGACCATCAAAGATGAACACAACCTGGAAGTCTTCAAAGCTGCAGATACCTGCTTCTTTGGTTTCAGTAAAGAAGTGATGAACAAGTTCCACCAAGCTGAACTTTTCCTCTTTCAGCACATTCAGTTCTCTGAAAGTGAATGGAAATATGAACTGGACGTCCTGGTTGGCTTTGTCTTCAGCCCAGTCCAGGGTGTATTTCTGTGTTAAGACGGTTTTCCCAATGCCAGCCACTCCCTGTGTCAGCACCGTTCTGATTGGTTCATCTCTTCCAGGTGATGCTTTAAAGATGTCTTCTTGTCTGATTGTTGTTTCTGGTCGGTCTGGTTTCCTGGATACTGTTTCAATCTGTCTGACCTCATGTTCATCATTGACCCCTGCAATCCCTCCCTCTGTGATGTAGAGTTCAGTGTAGATCTGATTCAGAAGGGTTGGGTTTCCTTCTTTAGCAATCCCCTCAAACACACACTGGAACTTCTTCTTCAGTGCAGATTTAAGTTTACGTTGACATACCGTAGGAAAATGTTCTGGAAAACAAATGCAAAAAATTACATCTCATTTCCTTAAAGCATAGATATTTGGCTACATGTTGGTCCCTCTCTTAAGACAATAGCAAATGTTCTAGTCATCCATCCATATTCTTCTGCTTATCCAGGGCTGGGTCACTGAGGCAGCAGCCTAGGCAGAGAAGCTCAGACCGCCCTCTTCCTAACCATCTCCTCCAGCTTTTCTGGGGGAACATCAAGGTGCTCCCAGGAAAGCCACGAGACATAATCTTTTCAGCGTTTCCTGGGTCTGCCTTTGTGGGACATGCCCAGAACACCTCACTCAGTAGGCGCCCAGGAGGCATCCTTGTTAGCCTCGAACAACCTCAACTGGCTCATTACCATCTGGAGGAGCAGTGGCTCTACTCTGAGCCCCTCCTGGACAGCCATACTTCTCATCCTATCTCTATGGCTGAGGCCAGCAGCTCTTCAGAGGAAGCTCATTTTTGTTGCTTGTATCTACGATCTTGCTCTTTTGGTCACTATCCACAGTTCGTGACCATCGGTCAGGGTAGGAATGTAGATCAACAACTGAGAGCTTCTTTTTTAAACGCAGCTCTCTTTTCACCATGACAGACAGGGTCTACATACTGCAGCAGAAGCACCAATCAGTCTGTCGATCTTCCACTCCCATCTCTTGTCACTTGTGAGCAAGACCCCGAGATACTTGAACTCCACTTGGGATAGGAACTCATCCCTGTCCCAGAGTGAGCACTCCAACCTTTTCTGGCTGAGGACCATAGCTCCAGATTTGCAGGTGCCTTTGCTCACTCCCATCGATACACAATCAGGCACGAACTGCTCCGATGCAAGCTGGAGGTCATCACCTGATAAAGCCAGCAGAACCACATCGTCTGCGAAAAGCAGAGACCAGATTCTGAGATCACCCAAGGGAAAGCCTTCCGCCACTTGACTGTGCCTAGAAATTCTGTGCATTAAAATTACGAAGATAATCTGTGACAAAGGGCAGCCCTGGCAGAGTCCATCAGCCACCGGAAACGAGTCCGGCTATGCTAACCAAGCTCCTGCAACAGGTGTATGAGGATCGAATGGCCTGAAGTAATGGAGCAGACACCCCATACTCATGAAGCACCTCCCAAGATTACGCAGAGTGACATTGTTGAATGCCTTGTCCAGGTCCACAAAACACATGTAGACTGGTTGGGCAAGCACCCATGCACCCTCGAGTATCTGAGAGAGGATAAAGAGCTGGTTCAGTGTTCCACGACCTGGGTGAAAACCACATTGTTCCTCCTGTATCGGAAGTTTTGACGGACTCTCCTTTCCAGCATCCTGGCATAGACTTTCCCAGGGAGGCTGAGGAGTGTGATCCCCCTATAGTTGGAACACACCCTCGGGTCCCCCTTCTTAAAGATAGAGGACCCAAGGAAGTCCCCTCGCAGAACTGTAGAAGCATATCAATCAAGACAGTCCTACAACATCCAGAGCCTTCAGGAATTCAGGGCAAACTTCATCCACCCGAGGTGCTTTCCCACCAAGGAGTTGTTTAACTGCCTTAGTGACCTTGTCCCACAAATAGGTGAGTTCTCCCCCTCATCCCCAGACTCTAATTTTTCTACAGAAGGAGGAAGCCAGTGGGATTAAGGAGGTCCTCAAAGTATTCTTTCCACCGCCTGCCAATGTTCCTGTCAAAGTCAGCAGCACTCCACCCTCACTATACACAGTGCAGGTAGAGCCCCGCTTTCCTCTCCTGAGTCACCTGACGGTTTGCCAGAATCTCTTTGAGGCAGTCCAAAAGTATTTTTCCATGGCTTCTCCTAACTCCTCCCAGACCCGAGTTTCATCTTCAGCCACTGCCAGAGCCACGTTCCACTTGGGCTGACAGTACCTATCAATTAACTCCAAAGTCCCACAGGTTAACCCCATCCGATGGGACTCCTTCTTCAGCCTGGTGGCTCCCTTCACCACTGGTGTCCACCATTTGGTTCAGGGGTTATCACCATGACAGGCAGCAACCACCTTGCGGCCACAGCTCAATGTAGTGGCTTCAGAAATCGAGATGCTGAGCATGGTTTATTTGGACTCAATGTCCCCAGTCTCCCTCAGAATGCTGTCAAAGCTCTGGCAGAGGTGTGAGTTGATCTCTGCGAGGCGTTCCCGCACACGTTTAGTTGCGCCAGGTCTGTCCAGCATCCTACCCCGCCACCTGATCCAACTCACCATCAGGTGGTGATCATTTGACAGCTCAGCCCCTCTCTTTACCCGAGTGTCCAGAAAACATGGCCTTAGGTTGGGTGATACAATTCTAAAATGGATCACTGACCTGCAATCTAGGGCGTCCTGGTGCCACTTGTACTTTTGGACACCCTTATGTTCAAACATGGTGTTCATTAAGGACAAACTGTGATTTGCACAGAAGTCCAAAAACAAAACACCACTCAGATTCAGATCCGGGAAGCCGTTCCTCCCAATCACGCCCCTCCAGGTCTCACTTCTGTTGCCCACTTGAGCGTCGAAGTCTCGCAACAGTAGGACGACAGTGGTTGTTTAATGACTGTTCCAGTCATTAATTAGCTTTAATCTTTACAGAAATCCTCTTACTGTAATAAAGACGGTCAGCCAGCTCTTCCTGCTTCATACTCCTCAGAAACTCCACTGTTATCTTCACAAGTGCCTTTCTGCTTCTCTTCCTCTCCTCATCATCCTCCCTCTGACTCTCTAGGCATTCTGGATAATCTGAACTCAGAACCTTCTGGATCTTCTTCAGCTCGTTCTTCACGAAACTGATGATGTTGTCCTCCAGCAGCTGGAAGGCAAGGCAAGTTTATTTATATAGCACAATTCAACAATAAGGTCATTCAAAGTGCTTTACAGAGACATTAAAAAACAAAAACAAATAAAAAGCATGATTTAAAATTGATTAAAAAAACATTAGATAAAATCAGAACAGTAGATAAAATCAGCAGTTAAAATGTAAGTTTTGAAATTTAAGCTTAAAAGTGTGGATTTGGTGTTTTATTCAAATGCAGCTGAGAATAACCTGGATTTAAATAAACTGAGAGTTTGAGCTGGAACAGAATACTTTATGAATGACCCAAACATCAGATCCATCTTGGATACATGGATTAGGAGTGGATTTCAAAGTGATTTGCTGATTCAAATTGATTTTAATTCAAATGATGCAAAATAAATGATGCAAAATAAATCTTGAAATCAAGTTTTTTAAATAAAAATGTATTTTATCAGAAATGCCAAAATCTCAGCTTACAGCTCACAAAACTATTTCAACAATCGGCTGACAGCCAAAACAGTAAATGATTAAAAAGCAGGTAAAAGGATTCTGCAAAACATGTAAACACAAAGCACGGAATTTTAACCCGATGTCACATATACGGACATGTCATAAAGTGCTGAAAGCCGACATCTTACAGGTTTTAATGCTGCAGGTTTCATCACTCTGACCCAAATTGACTGAACCAGCAGCAAAAAAAGATCAAAAGTATGCTTCACGTTTTATAAACATCGTCATTAATTCCCTCTTACTTTTGCTGTTTTGCTTCCACCACGATAAAATCACACTACCTGCACATCTCTCTCTCTCTCTCTCTCTCTCTCTCTCTCTCTCTCTACCTCTCTCTCTCTCTCTCTCTCTCTCTCTCTCTCTCTCTCTCAGTCCACTCAGAGACAACTTTACCATTAAAGATCTGCTTTCTGCATTATCCGCTTGCTTATTACCCACCAGTCTACCGTTCAGTGCTGTCGGTCATTGGTTTTTGTTTTTCAAAAATGACCTCTGACGAGAAAGTTACCAGTCACCTTTCTCACTCACTATGTGTTAATAGACCTCTCTGCATTGAATCGTATCTGCTATCTGCTAATCTCTGTCTCTCTTCCACAGCATGTCTTTATCCTGTCTTCCTTCTCTCACCCCAACCGGTCGCAGCAGATGGCCCTGCCCCTCCCTGAGCCTGGTTCTGCCGGAGGTTTCTTGCTGTTAAAAGGAAGTTTTTCCTTTCTACTGTCACCAAACTGCTTGCTCATAGGGGGTCATATGATTGTTGGGTTTTTCTCTGTATCTATTATTGTCCGATCTACTGTGCAATATAAAGCATCTTGAGGCGACTGTTGTTGTGATTTGGCACTATATAAATAAAATTGAATTGAATTGAAGAAAGCCAAATTTCTTCCATTCAATGCCAAAGAAATTTAAACTTTTTAAGCAAGAAAGAAAGCAATTTACTTATATAACACTTTCAGATCAGTCCCTAGCTGAACGCAAAGTGCTGTACACTTGACATGCCAGAAATGATACATTGAACATGTTAAAAAATAAATAAATAAATAAATAATAATAAAAATAATATAAAATAAATAAAAAATATTAAAAAATAAAATGATTATTAAAATGACGTTTAAAATAATAAAATTAGCAGAAATTGCAAAAACAATAATAAAATAGTATAAAATGATGATAAGAATGACATTTAAAACAATAAAATTAGCACATTAGATTAAAACAATAAAATCAGGGTCAGACTGTGTCATAAGCCAAGGAGTAAAAATGTGTCAATAGAAAATTGTACTTAGTAGTCAGTATAATCTTTTAATAATATACGTTTACATATGGTAGTGATAGTATGTGCGATCCTTAATAGTCTGCAAAGGCTTTGTGTGCATTTCAGAGTGCTCTTGCATTCACACCCACATCTTAGGAGCATGGGAAAGGTCGTACCTTCTTTTATTGTTTTATGGTAGGATAATCGTAGCTATGTCAGTTTTAGTCTAAGTGCCTTTTGTTTAGATGAACTGCTGGACTTCCAGACCAACAGGTTTAGGGAAGTCGTTTATGGGGTCACACTCTGACACACACACGCACACACACACACACATACATATACACCTCCACATTCCAATGTAAGGAACAAGCACCCACCGATGTATATAAATAAAGACCAGGGCAGTGGCAGAGCGCGAGTCTCAGAGCTCCCACTCTCAGTGCGAGTGCTCTGTACTGCCCTTGCATGCAAGTAAAACTCCGCCCTGATTCTCAGCTGAAGAAGTGTCTTAGAATACATCTCTTGACAAAATGGGTTTTAAGACGTGTTTTAAAAGTGGACAGTGAAGGGGCCTCTCTAATGTGCTGGGAAAGGTTTTTCCACAGATTAGGAGCAGCAATAGAGAAGGCCCTGTCCCCTCTGAGCTTTCTCTTGGACCTGGGTACCTCCAGGAGCAGCTTGTCAGCTGACCTGAGAGACCTGGGGGGTGAGTAAGGATGCAGAAGCTCAGAGAGGTAAGTTGGGGCAGGACCATTTAAACATTTAAAAACAAACATGAGAATTTTAAAATGATCTCTAAGATATACAGGCAGCCAATGGAGTGAAGCCAGGATGGGAATTATGTGCTCTCTTTCACGAGTTCTGGTTAAAAGTCGTGCAGCAGCATTTTGGACCAGCTGCAGACGAGAGAGAAGATGCTGACTAACTCCAAAATACAGTGCATTAAATGATTAAAACTGGACTTGAAAGTACCCCTAATTTGACTGTCTAATTTAAAATCATTGTCCATCTTAAAACCCAGGTTTGTAACAACAGATTTAAAATACTCTGCCAGGGGTCCCAAATCAATAGCGGAGGGTTCACAAGGTCCACTAGGACCAAACAGAATCACCTCAGTTTTGCTTGAATTACATCTTAGAAAGTTTAGGGACATCCAAGATTTAGTGTCTTCTAGACATGCTAGAAGTGGCTTAATAGAGAAGGCCTCTTTCTGCTTCAAAGGCAGATAAATCTGACAGTCGTGAGCATAGCAGTGGAAGGATATTCCATACCTTCTAAAGATGATTCCCAGGGGCTGTAAATATAATGAAAAAAGCAGAGGCCCTTAAATTGAGCCCTGTGGGACCCCAGACTGAAAAGTGGCAGAGGAAGACTCTTACCCTAAAAAGTTAACACTAAAAGTTCTGTCAGAAAGATAAGACCTAAACCATTTCAAAGCAGTACGACGAATGCCTGCAAGATGGTGCAAGCGACACAGTAAAATGTTGTGGTCTACAGTGTCAAAGGCAGCTGTTAGGTCAAGGAGGACAAGAACAACATGATTACCAGGATCACAGGAAAGGAGGATATCATTAAAAACCTTTAAGAGTGCTGACTCAGTGTTATGAAAGTTTTTAAAACCTGATTGGAAGACCTCTAAGATACCGTTCTCATTAAAAAATATCCATCAATTGGCAGCTCTAAAATACAAAACTCTTACCTGTGTCTCTAATAAAACCTCTGTAACTTTCTTTACTTCAGCAGCATCAGGTAATGTTCAGATATTTATTCATGGTTTTCTTCAGTTTTTGTTCTACTGCAGGAAATTTTTAAGGTTATCTGCTATAAAAAGCCAGGCCAGGAAAATCTGCTTCATGTTATTCTTTGTTTTATCATCAGTTACTTTGACACAAAGGCATCTGCTGTGATGCTTACACCTCAGATTTGTTTTTATACCATGATAGTTTACACTGAGTTTATAGTTGCAGAGAAAGTCTCATAGTTGTAATTAAATATTTAAAATTGAATCAACTGTAAAAATCAGCAAAGTTAAGAAAAGGGAAAGACTTTGTGTACTCAAGTAGAAGGACAACTACTACTATTTAAAACTACTTCAGTAAAAGTTGGAGTACTTATTCAACTTCTTTAATCAAGTAAAAGTAAAGAAGTACAGACTCTGACATGTACTCAAAGTAAGACAGTAAAAGAAGTTGGAGGACGTTTCTATTTTTAAAGAAATGTAGAATGTTCAGATATTTGTTTAAACATCAATGGTGTAAAAGTAAAAAACTAGTCAGAAAAAAAAATACTCAAGTAAAGTTCAGATACCAGAAAATTGTATTTAAGTAAAGTATTGAAGTATTTGTACTTTGTTACTTCCCAGCCCTACTGACAATCCAGCATCATGGAGATGACTGTGAACAGAATAGATGTAAAAGTAGTTGTTGTACATGTACAGACCATAAATATGGAGTCCAGGTGTGTTTGATGCTGCTGGGCAGACTGACCACTGGGAACCTCTGAGCTCTGTTGGTCCACTCTGTGGAGGAACCATGAAGGATTAGTTCAAGCACAGGATAAAGTAGATTCAGTAGATCCAGTAGATTCTGCTCATCTGAATCACCTTTGGTGAAACATTGCTGACAATACCTGCTGTGACTGCTTTGTGCAGCAACTACAAACATTTGTGTAGCTGCTGATCAATCCTACGTCACTGAGTGAATCTGAGCGCAGTCCTTTACACAGAGCAGCTTCAGCTCTGGGTGTTGGTGGATTTTCACTTCAGGAATGTCTACAATTTTTCTGCTGGGTTAGGATCCAGACTTAGAGTTTGTTTGGTGCTTCTAAAACATTGTTATTATTATTCGACTGTCCTTTTGAAGAACAACTTTTTTGCTTTGTGGCACAGTCAGACTTTCTCCTGAGACTCAGTTGTGCTACAAGAGGAGCAGCAGTAGGAGGATTTAGAGCTGAGTTAATAACACTAAATAAAATATGAGGTCTGTGACAGTTATTAGACATGATCTTGGAGAAATACTTTGTTTCTGCTGCTCTTACAGCCTTTTGATCATTTAACAATGATCTGGTAACATTATTCAACCAAGGCTGGTTTTGAGGTTTTAGTTTGCTGGTTGTGAGAGGACCAATGCAATCAAGGATTTCCATCAAGTTGAATTAATCAGAAAAAGCAGGCTGTCAGTGGTCAAGTGAGGGATCTATAAAAAAAAGTAAGGCAAGATGTTTTGTAAGAACAAAATGATCATCTTGATCTGACGTAATCAGGTTTTAGACACCTGGTATTTGTTAGGATGCCTGGGTCGTTGACCCAGGGTTTTGAGTTTATTATATTATTTATCATTTCTAGTCTTTGGTTTCTTTGTTAAGTTCTATCTTATGGTTAATGTCTCTGTGTTCTCTAGTTGCTGTCTCCCTGTGTCCAGTCAGAGTCTGTAGTTCAGTCTGTGTTATGTTTCCTGTTTTACTTTGAAAGTCTGTGTCTCATGTAAATGCGTCTGGTTTTGCTTCCTTTGTCTTGTTAGCCCCGATTTGCCCCAGTTGTGTTTCCCTCCTGTTACCCATTCCCTGATTGCTCCCTCTGTGTATTTAAGCCCTGTGTTTCTCTGTGTCGCAATATACCCTTATTTAGCTGTGTGTTCTGTTGGTGTAAGTTCACCTTGGAGTCTCAGTTTTGTTACTTTTTTGGAGTTCAGCATTAAAGCTGTATTTAAGTTTACCTTTCATCTCTGAGTGTCTGCACTTTGGGTCCTTTTCCTGCCTGCACACAGCCGTTCCATAACAGAAGATCGCGACCAGACCATGGACCCAGCAGACTCCGTGTGGCATTGGCGACCCGCAGTTTCTGCCTTTCTCAAAGAGAGGGTGAGGCAGGAGGCTAAGCATGCCTGGGGGCTTCAGTCACCCTTCTATGGGTCACGTTTGGCTTGGGGAGGGTCCCGCAGCCTCCAAACTGCCATGGCTAGGGCTGAGCCGGCACCTATGCCTCGGTCTATCAGATTGAGAACAAGCTCATTTTCTCCAATCACTACACCTTCGTCTCCACCCCCGGTTTTCCAGTCCGACAAGAGGGTTAAGCGGCGGAGGAAGAAGGATTACGTGACGCCGGATGTTAGACTCACTCCGCTGCAGTCCTTCGCTCTGTTTTTGGGTCTGCCACGTTCTGAGCTTCACAAACTCTCTGCTTCCTCATCGCAGCCTGGTGTTTTGGAGGATTTGCAGCCCAGTTTGCCACCTCCCACTTCCCAGAGAAAGCGACGCTTACGCGTTCGCCGCTCTGTCTCTGCTGAGCCACTCCCCGTGGTGAGTTATAATGACTGTTTTCATTCTGTTCCCTCTGAGCTGGAAAAAGACAATCATGTGAACACTGTAAATTCTGAGACTGTGAAAACTGTTAAGACTGTTAGACGTGGTGGTGGTAGGAAGCTAAAAAACATTGTAGAGGAGTCTGTGTTTAATGAGCCTGCTCCTTCACCCCGTTGTGTTCCTGCTCCCAGGGCAGCTCGGGCCCAGCATTCCCCTGCACCTGTTTCAGTGCTTCAGGTGAGGGAGGCTGAGGTCCAGCTGGTCCCTGCTCCGGTATCCAGGCCGGCTGAGCCTCAGCCTGTCGCGGCACCCGCACCTTCTCCTCGGGTGTGAGTGGCTGGTGTCCAGCAGGTACCTGCACCTGTTTCTGACCTCGCTGGAGGCTCAGGTGAGCCCGTCCAGCAGTTTTCTTCAGGCTCCGTAGGTTCAGAAAAACTAGCCCAGCCATCTGCTCATCCACCACCTCACGCACCATTACTACCATTGTTACAACAGTCAATGCATCTTAAACTTCTATCCATAGCTCAAACATTAGCTCACCTATCGGCTCAGTCACCTGCTCAGTTACCACGTCAGTCGTTTACTCAGCCACCTGTTCCTGCTGGAGGGTCCCAGGGGCCCGTCCAGCCTTCTGCCTCTGCTGGAGGGTCCGAGGGGCCCGTCCAGCCTTCTGCCTCTGCTGGAAGGTCCGAGGGGCCCCTCCAACCTTCTGTTCCCACTGGGGGTTCTGGAGAACCGCACCAGCCTTTGTTCGTCTCCGCTGGAGGGTCCGAGGGGCCCGTCCAGCAACAGCCACCTGCCTCCGCTGAAGGCTCAATCCGTCGTCGCCTGAAGTGCCATCCTCGTCTGGTCCAGCGTCCGAGTCTTCAGCTTCGCCTGGTCCGGCTTCGGCTTCAGCTTCGCTTGGTCCAGCTTCAGACTCTTCATCCTCGCCTGCAGCAACCTTTGCTTCTGCCTCTGCGTCGCCTGGTTCTGCCTCACCTCGTCCTGTCCGGCCTGCACGTCCTCGTCCTGTCCGGCCACCTTCCAGGCCGTTGGCTGGACGTTGTCATTGTCACGGCCGGCCTCTGGACCTGCCCCACCGCCATTGCCGTCCGCACGCTCAGCCACCTGAACTGTCTGCCCGCCGCTGCCGTTGCCGTCCACACGGTCGGGTTCCTGTGCTGTCGGCCCCCAGGCCGGCCCCCTGAACCATTCTATTTTGGACTCGTGTTTTGTTTTTTGGCCCTCTTGGTGGTCCTTGTGTTTAGTTTAGTTATTATATTATTTATCATTTCTAGTCTTTGGTTTCTTTGTTAAGTTCTATGTTATGGTTTATGTCTCTGTGTTCTCTAGTTGCTGTCTCCCTGTCTCCAGTTAGAGTCTGTGTCTATAGTTCAGTCTGTTATGTTTCCTGTTTTACTTTGAAAGTCCGTGTCTCATGTAAATGCGTCTGGTCTTTGTCTTGTTAGCCCCGATTTGCCCCAGCTGTGTTTCCCTCCTGTTACCCATTCCCTGATTGCTCCCTCTGTGTATTTAAGCCCTGTGTTTCTCTGTGTCGCGATCTACCCTTATTTAGCTGTGTGTTCTGTTCGCGTAAGTTCACCTTGGAATCTCAGTTTTGTTACTGTTTTTGAGTTCAGCATAAAAGCTGTATTTAAGTTCACCTTTCGTCTCTGAGTATCTGCACTTTGGGTCCTTTTCCTGCCTGTACACAGCCGTTTCATAACAGTATTGATGGGAACAATGGAATCGAGTATTTCCAAGCAGGTTGAATTAAACAGAAAAAGTAGGCTATCAGTGGTCAAGTGAGAGGACTCATTAGAAAGTAAGGCATGATTAGAGTTTTTATAACAACAAACAAAACGATCAGCTGTATCTGAGGTAATCATGCGAGATCGGTATTTGTGCATATCAAGTCCAACAGACTGACATGAAAGAGGGAACTCAAATATTTCAGGCATGTGTTCAGAGATTTATTGTTGCAGATTTCAGTGGCACAGAGAGTCAGGCCACCAGACAGCACAAGATCCAAAGTACAGTGGGAATGGAATATATTCAGACCTCCTTAAATTTTCCACTGTGAGACTATTATATTACCTTATGCCGTGTTATATCCCTAATTAAAGATGCGAAATTATTATATAGTTTTAGTTTGCATTATTCTCCTGACTTAGAAGAAGGGGATAACTATTACATTTATTAAGCTGATTTGTATTAGATTAGACTGCTGATTTATTGTGAGTGAATGATATTGTTTTATGATGCATTATACTGCAGTGTTATAAGCAGTTTTGGGTAAGTTACTTTAAATTAGTAACTTAGTTAGATTGCTAGTTCTATCAAAAGTAACTCAGTTACTTCAAGTTACTCGTTACTTTCAGAGTAACTAGTTACTAGGAAAAGTAACTTTGGTTTTACTCAGAATTCTCTTGTTAATGTGTTGCTTCCGTAACTGGATACCTAGCAAGATTGCTTACTTGCCACAAGTGCATTGTGCCACCTACCAATAGAAAGGAAAAAATAATGTGCACATTTCCACGAGAGAAATCCCACGCCTGGACCGTCGTTGACCGCCGCCATGATTCTAGCCTGCTTTTTACATCCAACACAAAACCTGCAGTCGTGGTGCTTTCAATTGTACTCGGAAATTCTGCCTTCTGAATAGGAAGATGTAGGTAACACCAGACTGCAGATGAGCTGCATATAGGGCTGGACTGGGACAAAAAAATCGTCCCGGGCATTTTGACTAGAGACGGGCCGCCATTATAGGAAAAATCATAAAGCCTTTGAATGAAAATAAACACTGCTGTGACAGTAATGTACACTGTTCTGATGGCATATGTGTATCAATCTATCAATTGTTTGTTGTAAGACTCAGATAATTATTTTTTAAAAGCGAGACATTTTAAATGAGAATAAGAAAGAAAAGTATATCTGTGTGCCTCCCTCTCCCCGTTAATGCCCTACCTGGCCCCCTGGCAA